CTCTCTCTGTCTGCCTTTCTCTGTCTCTCCTCTCTGTGTCTGCCTTTCTCTGTCTCTGCTTTCCTGTCTCTCCCTCTCTGTCTGCCTTCCCTGTCTCTCCTCTCTCTGTCTGCCTTTCTCTGTCTCTCCTCTCTCTGTCTGCCTCTCTCTGTCTGCCTTTCCCTGTCTCTCCTCTCTCTGTCTGCCTCTCTCTGTGTGCCTTTCTCTGTCTCTCCTCTCTCTGTCTGCTTTTCCCTGTCTCCCCTCTCTCTGTCTGCCTTTCTCTGTCCTCTGTCCTCTCTCTCCGTGTCTGCCTTTCTCTGTCTCTCCTCTCTCTGTCTGCCTTTCTCTGTCTCTCCTCTCCGTGTCTGCCTTTCTCTGTCTCTCCTCTCTGTCTGCCTTTCTCTGTCTCTCCTCTCTCTGTCTGCCTTTCTCTGTCTCTCCTCTCCGTGGCTGCCTTTCTCTGTCTCTCCTCTCTGTGTCTGCCTTTCTCTGTCTCTCCTCTCTCTGTGTCTGCCTTTCTCTGGCTCTTCTCTCTCTGTCTGCCTTTCTCTCTCTCTCTCTCTCTCTCTCTGTGTCTGCCTTTCTCTGTCTCTCCTCTCTCTGTGTCTGCCTTTCTGTCTCTCCTCTCTCCTGTCTGCCTTTCTCTGTCTCTCCTCTTTCTGTCTGCCTTTCTCTGGCTCTTCTCTCTCTGTCTGCCTTTCTCTCTCTCTCTCTCTCTGTCTGCCTTTCTCTGTCTCTCCTCTCCGTCTCTGCCTTTCTCTCTCTCTCCTCTCTCTGTCTGCCTTTCTCTGTCTCACCTCTCTCTGTCTGCCTTTCTCTCTCTCTTTCTCTCTGTCTGCCCTTTTCTCGTCTTCCTTTCCGTCTCTGCCTTTCTCTGTCTTTCCTCTCTCTGTCTGCCTTTCTCTGTCTCTTCTCTCTCCGTGTCTGCCTTTCTCTGTCTCTCCTCTCTATGTGTCTGCCTTTCCCTGTCTCTCCTCTCTCTGTGTCTGCCTTTCTCTGTCTCTCCTCTCTCTCTGGTCTGCGTCTGCCTTTCTCTG